TTGTAGTGCATGTTGCGATACTTGTATTTATTGTGTTTCTTTGTTCTTGAGGTTGTATTTGTGTGGTTGCTTGGGTTATTCGTGGAGATATTACAGTATTTTGTGAGCTAGTAGTGCTGTTTAGGTTTTTGCGTTTGGGTTGTATACGAGTGGGTTGTGATAACGTGGTGTGTTTCTGTGAAGAATGAGTTTTATGTTTTTTAACTGTGCTAAGACGTGTAACTTTATTGGGTGGACCTGTCTTTGTAGTGCATGTTGCGTTACTTGTATTTCTTGTGTTTCTTTGTTCTTGAGGTTGTATCTGTGTTGTTGCTTGGGTTATTGGTGGAGACGTTACAGTACTTTGTGAGCCTGTAGTGCTGTTAAGGTTGTTGCGTTTGGGTTGAGTACGAGTGGGTTGTGATAACGTGGTGTGTTTCTGAGAAGAAAGAGTATTGTGTTTTTTAGCTGTGCTAGGCCGTGTAACTTTTTTGGGTGAGGGCGTCTTTGTAGTGCATGTTGCGTTACTTGTATTTATTGCGTTTGTTTGTTCAGGAAGTTGTGTTTGTGTGGTTGGTTGAGTTAAGGGTGGAGATATTACAGTATGTTGTGTGTCATGTTGTGAATCTAAAGTGCTGTTTAGGCTTTTGCGTTTGGGTTGAATACTAATGGGTCGTGATAATGTGGTTTGCTTCAGAGGTGAATCTCTGATTGTAGTATATATTGTATCATTTGTTGTACTTGTTTGTTCGGTAAGTTGTATTTGTGTGTTTGTTTGGGTTAGTGGTGGAGATATTACAGTATGTTGTGTACCGTGTTGTGAGCGAGTACTGTTGTTTACATGTATACGTTGTGGATCATTTGTGTATGTAGTATCTTGTGTTATGTTTAGAAATTTACGAACAATATGGCATGTGTTGATAATGACTGCTTTTTGTAAATGTTTGTATGTGTTTTTGTTTAAACCTAATAGTTGTAAATTGTGGTGTATTGTCTTTGGTATAACACCGGTAGCACTAAGAATAATGGGAACTATAACAGTAGATTTCATTCTCCATTGCGTCTTAAGCTCGATAGCTATATCGGTGTATTTGCGGTGTTTTTCTGCATGTGTTTTAGTTAAGTTGTTATAGTGTTGGGTATGGCAATGTCTATAATACAAATGGATTTTTGTGTTTTATCTATAAGTGTAATATCTGGTCTATTATTGTGGATAGTTTTGTCTGTGAGTAGTGTCCTGTCCCAATATAATTTGTGTGTGTTGTTTTCAAGTATGATCTGTGGCGTGTATTTGTAGTATGGTGTCGTATCTGTTATGAGATTGTGTTTAAGTGCTAATTTTTGATGTATGATTTTAGCTACCTGATCATGTCGATGTTTGTATTCAGTTTGTGCGAGTCGTGTGCATGCCGATATTATATGTTGGATTGTTTCTGATGTTTGTGAACAGAGTCGGCAAGAATCATTTGTCACTGTTTTGTCTTTCTTTATGTATGTGTTTTTTATAGTTACGTGTGTTAATGACCTGGTCTTGTATTGCTAACATGAAACCCTCAGTCTCCGGGAAGATATCACATTCATACAACCAACTGTGCGTTGCTATAGAATCAACACAACCCTGGCTAACCTAGCTCTTGTGGAAATCGTCCATGTAAAGGCTTTTGGTTCCATATTTGTATGTTATTTGTGATGTATGTAAGTTTGGATGTGGGTGGGAGTATATTAGTTTCGTGTAGATTAAGTGGTGTGTAAGATTTATCTGCATATGTTACTGTTTTGTGTAAAACTGAAGTATCTGATTTGTTATAAAAGTATTGTCGTAAATTGTGTATTTGTGTTTGGTGCAATAGTTTTATGTCTGTAAGTCCTCTACCTCCTTCCGAACGAGGAAGGTAAAGTCGTATAGTAGAGGAGTGAGGGTGATGTATATGGTGTTTTGTTAATAGTGTACGTGTGTTTCTCTGTATTTGTTCTAAATCTGTATTTGTCCAACGTATAATCCCAAAAGAGTATGTAAGCACTGGTGTGGCATAAGTGTTAATAGCCTTGATTGTATTTCTACCGTGTAATTTTGTTTTAAGTATACTGCGTACTCTTTGTAGGTATTGTGTAATAAGTGTTTGTTTTATACTCGTATGTTTAATGTGTGTGTTTTGCTGAAAACCAAGATACTTATAAGTTTCATTCTCGTCCATGGAATTTATTAAATTACCCTGTTCTAGCTCATAATCTAAAAGTTGTCTTTTACCAGCTGTGATGTGTTGTGTTTACATTTATCGATTCCAAAGTCCATTTGTATGTCACGTGAGAATGTTTCGGTAATGTGTAGAAGGTGATTAAGTTTTATGCTTGTGGAAGAGTATAATTTAAGATCGTCCATGTAAAACAGGTGTGTAATGTTGTGATGTATTTCGTGGTTGTGTTTAATATTGTACCCAAAGTTAGTAGTGTTTAACAAATATGAAAGTGGATTAAGAGCAAGACAAAACCAGAGCGGACTTAAAGAATCGCCTTGAAAAATTCCTCTTTTAATTTGTATTGGGTCGGTAATAAGTTTTGTGTCGTTTAGTGTAAGTGTTAACGTAGTGTTCCAACATGACATTATGTAATTGAGGAATTGTGTAATATTGTTGCTGACCTTGTATATTGAGAGTACTTGTTGTAACCAAGAGTGTGGTACTGAATCGAATGCTTTTTTGTAATCAATGTATGCAGTGTGTATGTTTCGTTTGTTATGTCTGGATTGTTCAAGTATAACAGAGTCTATAATGAGTTGCTCTTTACATCCTCTGGAATACTTGGTACACCCTTTTTGTTCTTCGTATAAAATGTTGTTATCAGTACAGTGTTGGTATATTTTGTTTGTAATGCATGATGTAAGGATTTTGTATATTGTAGGAAGGCATGTAATTGGTCTATATTTAGATGGGTCTTGTGTATTGTTGTCTTTTGGGAGCATGTAAGTGATACCTTGTGTAAAGAATGCAGGAGTGCGATCTGGTGAATTAAGAAGTTCAGTAAATTGTTGTGCAAGGTAAGAGTGAGTGTAGGTAAAAGATTTCCACCAAAAGTTGTGAATGTTATCAATGCCTGGACATTTCCAGTTATGTAAGTGATTAATAGTTTGACTAATGTCTGTTGTAGTGATGTTTGTGTTATTCATAGGGGTAATGTATTCAGTGCGTGTGGTTTCTGTGGTAATCCACGGGGCGTGTGGATTGTGTTTAATGTCTTTGGTCCATAAGTCAGACCAGTATTGCTGGAGTGAGTGTAGAGATGGTGGAATGAGTTTTTCATTAGTGCTGTTTTGTGTTAGTGATCTGTAAAATAGTTTTTCGTTATGTTTAAATTGTGTGTTATGGCGCTTTCTGTCTGCAGTTTCCCTATAGCGTTTTAGACGGTTTGTGTATATTGATAGTTTTTGTGTCAGTGTATCTCTATGTTCGTTATAGTTTGTATTTTGTTCTCGTGTGGTGTGATTGTTTAGTTTTATTATTATTATTATTATTATTATTATAAACCAATTCTTCTAAAATTTTAGAATGGGATTTTTCTTATAAACTGAAATTGAAGTAGCACCTCAAAAATGAACTGGGCATGTGCAACCCTAACTTTATTATTTGTGACCGGATTTTTACGAAATTTTAACAGAAGTTGCATCTTACGAATAGAAAATGAATGCAAGTGAAAATGCGCGTATTGTAAAACGTTTACGACTACTTTTTTAACTTGCTACTTATTTACGTATATATACAATATACATTAAAACGCTTGTCCGACCTTGATATCTTATGAATGTATGTATTCCTGGAATGATACCTTCCTCTTCATTTGCATTAAGAATTGCGTTATAGTTTGTACGTATTAAAAAATTAGGTAAATTCTTTATATAGTCCTTACATTTTTGTCTTTCAATTGCATAGAAAAACGTTACAAAGCTATTTCAATGTTTATTGTTTGAATAACTTTTGTTTTTTGCCACCTTCCTAAATTTTACCATTAATTGCTTACAATAATAATAATTTACCATGTCTCCTCGAAGGTCTAAAACAAAATATTTATAAGCAGTCTTGAACATTGGATTTTTTGAATACGTACAGCGTAATTTGTTAAGGTTGAAACCCTTTATAAACCCTCAATAACGGACATTGCATTATGCTGGATTCTTTAATAACACTAATATTACTCTGAAAGTGAATGATTTATAATAATATGATATTTAAAAAAATTCCTGGTTATTTTGCTTCTCAAAACATGTTGGATATAAGTGTTAAAGTCTCCTAATGGCCAAGATTACATGAAAATTATCTTAATGTCTTGGGGCACGCAGTGGTAATAGCTTATTTGCTTAACGTTTAAATTCTCATACATAATTATGAAGTTATTACATATTCCCATCTTCTGTCAGATTCAAGATTATCTCTCTGAAAATTAGCACATATAAAAGGCGCCTTGGTTATTTTTGTAAATATCCCGAGTTTTACGTTTAGTGACCTAATCCGCAAATATATTAGTTCCGCGAGCCTATCAATAGCAATATGAAAATAGAATGAAATTTAATTTTAATATAAAGTAAGGAGTCATATCTGAGCCTCAAACCATAGTATTATTATTCGTAGTTTCCTTAAATCTCTACAAACATTAGTTATCTACGTGGGCAGATAATGTACCTAACTGAGAAAATTTGTTTTTATTTAACCACACCGATGACAAGAACGTTGGTGCTTAGCAGTTTAGTAATAATAGTCGTTTCGGCTAATTATTCTAAATTAATTAAACATCTTAGTATAGTTTTTAATTCATTATTGCTAGTGATGTAGGTAAATGTTGACATTTAGGTAATTTAGATAACTCAGAAAGTCGAAGAAGAGCAACACCATGATTAATGAATCTTTCGAATTGTCATGTATGTATTTGTTTCGTTTAATTTCCCAGTTAGGTCCTCATAATGCTTACCATTGCCGACTTGCTGTGTTTTTCAGTTCATGACCTTGACATTATCCCCATTTTTTTGGTTTCAGCGGATGATGAGGCCATTGACCTATCAGGCCATTTGGACTCTTCAGTTACCGTAGGTGAGCACGCGTTTAGCCAAATGCAAGGAGACTTAGATCAGCAGCGTCTTCTGGGAGAACGTCCGCTTAATGATCCTTTGGCGGATATTATGGTTAGGGAAATTCAACACCAAGAAAGGTAAGCAAATGTTTTCATTCCTAAAATATATACAATGTATTTTTGCCTCAGCAGAATTGTTTCTAAAAAATCTACGAACGCTACTTCGATTCGATTTGAAACCTTGAATAAATTGTAAAAAGTCGTAGTGTTTGCCGATTCTGACTATTTATAGATAATTTCATCAAGGGACATCGTCTCTTCCATAAAACCCTCATATACAGCTCTAAAGTTGTATATTATACTCGTACCTTCTCAAGAACCCTATATCTTCGGTATGAAATTCATCGGCTGTCTAGGGTTTGCATGAACTACCCATTTTTAGTTGTCCAATCTTTAATCGATAGAAAAAGTAGGTACTCCGTCAAGATGTAGCCAGATGTTTTTTTAGCAAAATGATTATTTGGTTTCGTATGTTTTATGTTAGTGTAATTATGTATTAATTTTGAGGAGTGACAAGAAATTTTTGCACTTAAAAGTATAATCAGAAAACGAAATGTTGTTGATTTTGTAAGAGGCTTATCCGGTTATTAGGTAAAAGCAATATGCCTTTAGTGATCACTCTATTTGTCTACGGTAGCGATTGCCGTAAGGGAAATGCAAGCAACAAACCATACATGAATTAGTGGTAGCTATAGGAAATCAAATACAGGGAAAGCAAAGCAATACCTCATTATTTTTAACGGAATGGAAAGTATCAAACGCTTGCCTTTAAATTTATCGTGACGGATAAAATCTCATCCAAATAATTAAAACTTCTTTATTTAATTACGCCTCTCCCTGACATGATAAAAATCTATGAACGGGCATTGAATTTAACTCAATTCAGCGCGCCTCTAATGTCATAAGACTCAATCCAATTGGACGAGGTTTGCTGCAACTCAATTAATTAACTACGGTTAATTATACTCAACTAAATGGCCGGATTAAAATTTCCAAATTTGGTAGCGCAATTGTTACCTGTAATTTAGCGTCAATCGTAATAGGTCTGCGATAATGAAATAAACTGCAGCTATAATGCTGATTTTAAATTATCATTGTGTTATCAATGTCCATCTGGGTTTCGAAACGCTGGAAAATCTCAACATTGTGTAGAGAAATTTTCTTCTTTCTTGTCTTACTATCCCAGTACTAATTCAACAATTCCAAAATATTGTCGAATAATGGCAGCTCGGGTACAAAC